GCTTTACCACACCTCAATATACTTGGTAGTTCATCCTATATTCTAATAGTAGCAAAATAGTAGCAAAAAATACATGCTATAATAACTCTCATTTCCTAAGAATAAAAATCAGTAAAACCTTATCTTTTTGACAGATTTATCTTTCATTTAAGATTGAGTCCCTGGCTTTCTACAATTTCAATACACACACTTATAAACATATAGTCTCTAGAGCAACTCAGTATGGTGGACTCAGGAGCCTTGTTCATCTGCTAGGTCGACCATGGACCAACCGCTGTTGCACAGGGTGATGATGCGTTTAGCTTGACATTTTAGATCCATGTCAACAAGTGCACAGCTTGAAAAGAAGTTCTGTGAATTGCTGTATCCTTTCTTTGGTGTACTTATAAGTCTTTTGGGGTAGTACAAAAATGTGTTCTAGGTTTCTCTGGGCAATATCACTTAAGTCACAGCTCTGAACTTCAGTGCTGAAATGTTCTGCTTTCCATAGTAAGAATTTCTGCACGTCTCAAAGATGAGAGAGTACTGTTGGGTTCCTTTCATCGAGTTGAGATTTCACTAAATCAAAATGAATGTCATCTGAGTCATGGAAAACTTTAAGGTAGTGTTTGATCAAAATTACTCTCTCCGTAGTTTGGTGTTTGGAGTGTATTATCGCTCCTACTAAATCGCTCGCCCAAATTTTAAGAAAATTCTTGTGAAAAGGCCCTTTAGGCATCGGTGTATTTTTGGACGCTGATTCCGAATCACCCCCCATGACGTAGGGTTAAAATGCTTCTCTGGAGAGTTATGGGCAAAAAACCGTTTTGGTCACGTGACAGGCTGGTAAAACGTGAATTCGATTATTTAGGGCTCGGGTTGTAGCGCGATGTACTACTGGGTCGCGCCGCGCATCAAATAATTCTTCTCGCAACCACTTCGGTAGATCGGCGAGATGCACCACTGTGCATCACCGAGCTGCGAAGGATTGACATCGTGAATCAAGGGCTCGGGTTACGGTTAGGGTTGTGGTTAAGATTATGGATAGCTTCGAGGTTATGGTTAGGGTTGGGATTAAAGTTTATGTAAAACCGTTTTGTACGGCTGCAAAACAAAAAAAACCAAAGTCACGTGAAATTTTTGGCCGAGCGATTTATAGTAGAGGCTCTTACGGGCATTGTCTGCTCGATACACTAGGGACCCCAGATATACCTTACTACACGTATTTTTGACCGTAGAATCAATTAAAAGTGGTTTCGAGATGATTGGACTGAGTTTACGCGGGTAAAATCGCAAAAAACCGATTTTCGGGCCAAAAATAGGCCAAAAAACCATGTTTTTTGATATTTTGAGCAAGTTAATTTTGTTGGCATGTCGGCAAAATTTGCATGGCAATAGCTAAAACATAGCCGCACAAGATGATTAGATATATAAAAATAAAACAAATCGCTCTGTTTTTACGCAGGTAAAAATCCAAAAAAGTGGTAAAAATGTGCCCTTTTTTTATTAAAGTTTGAATGATTTTTTGCAGTTGTATTAAATCAACCCACCAATAGTCACATCGTGTTTGACTGAAATTTTCCTTTCCGAGAAGTACCCACTTCATATACTTTATAGAAGTTTGAATATTGTCACTCCGCAAGCGTTTTTGCATAATTTTCGACGCGCACAACGCGCAAAAGCATTTAGTTGTTATCAATGGGCACCCGCGCGTTCATCATAAATTTCAAACAGCCATAACTCAGCGAGATTATGTCCGTTCTAGCTCATATTTTCACACCAAATAGAAAACAATGTGATCGTATTGCTGACATAACATGAATATAATTACTTTATAGGCCTAAGAGTTATAGACTGTCAAAGTTTAAAACGCGCATTGGAATAGCACGTGACTTATAAGGCTATATTTATATTTCTTAACATATTCTCGATCCTTACACATCATACTATTGTGTCCAATTAATAGTTAGGTCTCTAAACTCATAGCAGAAAACACGTCCTTTTGCCCGTAAGAGCCTCTACTATTAGTAAGAGCCGTGTATTATACATTTGCATTGAAAACAGCCCCAACTGCAGCCTTATATTTATATTACATTTATATTGTATTAGACACTCTGTACCACAGTTTGTTTTGTATCACGTGGTGACCCCCACTGTCGCTTCACTATAGTGACGACGATACAGGGGGAGCCGCGCACTCGTGCGCGGCGGGTCATACAACGTATGACAAAGGTTGTTCATATATCATGTCTGTCATATTTAAATTGTTTATCCATATATAAATAGAACAGTGTGGAGAAAATAATGTTTTTGCCATTCTAACTATTGCTGGACATATAGCGCGCGCCTATTTATTTTATTTTAAACAAATTTTTAATGCAATCAGCAATGTAAAATAGGTTTAACGCCAATTCCAATACGCTTCGCTCTATATGTAAAAGGAGCAAGCAATATATTTAACTTATAATTTTTAAACTTATATGTTATTATTATTATTATTATTATAAAACAGGATATTACCGACAAAAATGATTTTTTTAAATACCTTAATGCGGTAAACTGCAACTGTTCCCTTGAATAAGATTTTCCCAACATCTGTAATTGCATGCACCTATATTTCTAATTATAATTTTATTCAATTCGTGCGAGTTGTCCATTTGCAAATTTCTACTATTTAAATCACTTTTTAAAACTTAACCGATAACAAGTTCATATTCTTGTCATACGTTGTACATTGTATGGCCCGCCTGTATCGTATAGAAACTCTATATAGTGAAACGACCGTGGGGGTCACGACGTGATACAAGTTCATTCTAGGTCTCCCCAATCTTCCAATGAATAAATTATCTGATTCAATAGCAAAAGAGAGAGCCGTTTGGGCTGGGGTGTTCTCCATACTCCTGAGAATGTGTCCAAACATCTTCTACCGCTGGCCTGTTCGATACGCTTGGATAACTTTTCAACTTTGCACCTTTCATACAATACTTCGTTGCTTATTATACCTTTGTTATAACTGTTTAATTTATTTAATGCTTTATGTCATAGGTTTTTGTATCACGTTGTGACCCCATTGTCGTTTCACTAAGTGTGTAGCGTTTCTACGATACAGGGGGAGCTGGAGCCGTGCACTCGTGCGCGGCGGGTCATACAACGTATGACAAATAGGTTTCAGACCAAATTTCAAATCATTTTACATAATAATCGGTTGCACTGCACAATGTGTCATGAATTTCCTTGACGATGTTTCTAGCAGTTTCGCAGTAAATTTTTAGCAGCTTTAGAGCACTTTTTAGCTCATCTGCATAATCAATATTACAAATTTCAAATTTACACTATAAAAAAAGCAGGAGCGAAGTTTATGAAAAATAAAAAGTTCTATTGGAGTTTTTATAAACTTCGTTTTCATAAATGGATAACGAAACCAATTTGGGTCAATTTAAAACAAGTCTCTTTAGACAAAATTTAGGACCTAAACCCTTAAATGAAGAGCACATTTAATTTATTTACTTATTATACTTAGTATTTATTTTTGGTGACTGTATCACCCAGTTTTAACATTTGATAATTGTACAGTTTATTGACGACACATTGACTGAATGTTATTTTATATTCTAATTTATATTCTAGATATTTTATTTATTTTTCAACAGACGACAACTTCCTGTTTTTTCTTCTATATTAGTTACTCATATCTCTTTTACAGACTTTTTTACAAGGACATTGACAGATGATACTCGCATTAGGCATTCATTATTGCATCTAAATTATTTCACTTGCATTAGGTTTAGAAATTTATTCTCTGGTTAACAGATTTCAAATGTTTAATTAATTTGTAGTATGACAGTAAGGTATATAAGAAGTTATTTAATTTTGCTTGGGCTATTATATTGACTATTGAGGTTTAATGATGATATGGAATTTGAATTCTATATAAATTTACACTATGTGGTTGGGGCATTTTGCATAGTAAATATGGTTACTACTCCTATATATCATATTATTTGATTGGTATTCGATTTCCGATTATTTCTCTAGGAATATGATTATTATATCTCAATTTGGCTTTAGGTAGGGTGCCCCGCTAAAAGAACTGGATTCTTCCAGGAAGCATCCCGTGCACAGACCTTGGTCTACATATATATTAAATTATTAACCATTCATTCTGTATGTGCACGAAAATTTATTTCAATCAAAAGAGCACACAAGTCATTCATCAAAAAGTTGATCTTTACAGTCCAAAAAGAAGAAGTCATACGGAATCCAGCCGAGAATTAAAATTAAAATAAACCTGGTATACAGATGTATTTACAACATTCTAGAAACTCAAATTTTAATGTATTTAACGGTGACGTAGGCAAGGCATACATTGCAGGTCCGCCCTCTTCAACTAATCATTAACCTAAACTTGCATTTCTGAGCCATAAGTCTTCTGCAAAATTCTTGGTTAGAGTCAATCCACCTACCTGATTCAGACCAGGGAGTGAGAGCTTAAGCTCATCAGGAAAGCAAACTTCCAAAATATGAGAGGATGCGATCTGTAATTCAATTTTGTATACAATTGTGCTAGAACATTTAATCGATGTTGGAACGGTTTAGAAACCTTTATGAATGTAGACATCTAAAAACCGGAGAGAAGTGGCATGTTTCAAAAGATTTGAGGCAATATAACCTTTTACAGGTATTTACAGGTAAGGGGGCAGCGTCAGGTAACATTTTTCACTCCCATTGAAACTATATTTTGAGTGATTTTGACCTGTTCACCTGTCTGTTTGTCAAAATGTACATGAGCATGTTAATTACAACTTTATTTTGAGGGAATTAAACAGAATATGTTAATTTAAAGAATATGTACATTGCAAGCTGTTCTGTAAGAGAATGATGTTTTTACCCTCACTCACCTAAGAGGTATTGTAACCTGCATTATCAAAATATTTTGTAGAAAAGGAGCATACTAATGTAAATTAGTATTCTTTGTAATCAGCTAAAGTGAAACTAACCAATCAATGATCATATTAAAATTTAGAATGGTTATATGGGTAACAGTAGCTGTGAAATGTCATTCATCAGTGTAATTTGACCTCTGTAATGGCTGAGGAAAGGTTTGGATCAGTGGTATTCCGACAGAACTTCGATTCTGGAAACTTTGGGTCTGTAGAAAAAATAGAGAATAGTAATGAGGACGATCTTTTGGAATTCAAAGTGTGGACGCGACCAGATTGTGCAGGGTCATGTTACGAAAATGGCAACAGAACTTGGTTTCACTTCAGGTTTTTAAAATTATCCATAATATACTGGAATCTAGATGTGAGACATTTACTGAACTTCTTTTGTCAACAATAGCTAAGATAGTGGAACAGGCGGCATGACATAAATATCAGTGATGCACGCCGGTTCATTTTTCGCCAACCGGCGGCGGCGTGCCCAAAATGGCCCGGCGTGGCGGCGTTCGGCGGCGTGGAACATAATTTTGTCAAAATTTAGGTTTGAATTTCCAGGCCCACAAAATTGTGGCGTACTTGCGATCATGAAATAATGATGTAATAAGTGTGGTTTTTACAGCGTTTATGGCGAAAACGTGGCTGAATGTGATGATGAACGTAACGAAGTGGCCTCATAGCAGCGAGTAGCCCCATAAAATACGACATCCAACCGCTGAACTACAATTATCAATGCTACCATCAGAAAACTCTAGTTTGCCCGGCTGCGCGTGCCCTAAAATTATATTTTTCTAAATTGCAATCGTCCAAAAAAATTTGCCTTGAAATTTTTTTAAATTTTCACGCCACGCCGACTTGAGAGGTATCGGCATGGCGGCGTGTGAAAATGTGCCGGCGCGGCGGCGTCCGGCGGCGGCGTGCATCACTGATAAATATCCGGTACCATTACATTCAGGCTAAAAATTTACAGTATTAAATTCGGACAAAATTACATTTTGTATCCCTTCTCAGTGTGTCAGGAGTGCCAAGTCACAAAACACTAAAGATAACAATGTGTAATCTGAACAAACAGAGTAAGCTGTACAGCCAGGGTATGATGCCAGTATACAGGGTCGTGCCTGGCAAGATAAAGTGGGAACGAGTTAGAGATAGGCCTACTTACGAGGTAAACAGACTAGTTGGAATTTTCTTATTGCTCTACCGAAAATCGAAATGATTGATCAAACATTTCTATTTCTCTATTACCGAAGTGGGTTCAAGATTGCTTGACTTCTAGTGTATTCTGTACTTATTCATAACATATCTTATTAATAACTCTACTTGTCACAAAAGAGAATAAATAAAATTGTACATCGGATCAAAGGGAAGCTCATAAATATTGTTCCAAGCAAGCGATATCGGGCATTAGGAAATGTCTTGGGATTGGTGTTTCAAGAAACAAGTGACTTGCACGATTTTGTATGTCAAATTTTGTTGTAAAATGTAGCTACAGAAGTAAATCCCCCGCAAGAATCTAATTAGAGCACACTTTAAAGTATAGCTGAAGGTTTGATTTTTAATGATCGCTGTCAAATCGAGTGTTTCAGAGGCTCAGCTGGTTAATTTTGTATAGTGTATCCATTCTAAAATGAAAAAGTTTAAGGTTTACATAATATGATATATAAGAAAACAAAGCAACTTCTAACATAATTTATTTTTAGATGATTGACGGTCAGTTTCACCTCACATTTCTACACACTGTACTAGATAGCAAGATCACGACTTACTTTGCCTTTGTGTATCCGTTCAGCTACACCGACCTCCAGAAAAAGCTGGATCTCTTCGAAGCTAGGTGGGACACGAGATTTGCATATCTTCAATGTTTAACATGCACGTGTTCGATCAATAAACGCTTCTGTTTGAGTTTTTTTAGAGAGGAATGTTTTCTCAGATATACATGCTTTCGTATCAAAAATTATTTTAATCTCGCTGATGTGCAATTTGAAAACATTGCACTCTGCACAGCAACTCGGGACTTGTTTAAAATGCATGCTTATCTGCAGTTATGCAACTTGTTACAAGTTTATATCTGGAAACTGAAAAGCCATTCATTTGAATGTGGTATAACCACTGCTAATTAATTATGTGATAACACGTGGTTTATATGTATCATTTAAATTGCATAATGCAGCCTCTAAATTGACTGCAGTAGGGATTTTTTCCATCCTTATTAATAAGTAATCCAATGCATTCCTAGGTTTATTAACTTGCCTTGGAATTTACCCTCTTGGAAAAGAACTGAAGAATTCCCTAAAGATGCTATTTACTACCACTCTACAACCTTGTGCCACACACTCAAAAATCTCAAGGTAACTTATTCAGCATCTTAATTTCATTACCACACGACTACACATATTATATATATATAATATATATATATATATATTATATCTTCTTGCTAAGAAGATTCCATAATTGCACAAATTTCTTCATCAGTACTAAACATTCACTGACAATATAACTTCAGGTAAAACTACTGACAATATAACTTCAGGTACAACTACTGACAATATAACTTCAGGTACAACTACTGAAAATATAACTTCAGGTACGACTACTGACAATATAACTTCAGGTACAACTACTGAAAATATAACTTCAGGTACGACTACTGACAATATAACTTCAGGTACAACTACTCAGTGAAAGCAGTATTAATGACATTCTCACTTTTCAGAACTAAGTGCCTAATATAATTAAGATAGAACATCTAAACAGTTTTATTCCTGTTCCATATGATCGAGGATAGTTAGGGCTACAAAACCTGACCAAGTTTAGCTCAATCCAGTACTGCGCGTTCAAGATATGAGGTTAAATATACCAAAAATAGAGGTTTTCTGGTGTGACATCATTGTAAATTATTTGGAGTATAACCTCAATATCTCACAAACTATACATTTGTGGTCTTTCTGAGTTACACTATCTGTTTCCTTTGGCAATTTCGGTTCAGAGTCAATTAAGTTTGAAACAAAATCTCAGTATATGTGAAAGGACTGAGGATATCAAGTTTGTAAAAGCGCGCGTGCGCGCGCACACACATATAATGACCTCATATCTTCCACATTTAACGATTTTTTATAGAAATTCTTTCACCATCCTGTAGCACTCATGTGCTGAGTAGGATAGCATTCAAATCATGTCTTTAAAAGATTTAGATAGATACTGAGGGAGAAAATTCATGTTTGTAAAAGCGCGCGCGCGCGCGCGCATGGCCCAGACTATATCAATGGACGGCCACGGGAGGATAAAAGTACTTTCATACACACCAGCATGCTCATTGATGGCTTAAAATGAAGCTAAGACATACTCCTATCAGATCCACCATAAGTTAGATACCATAATAATCATTAAATGTGTCTAAAATGAGGAAGCTTTGACAAGTGCGAGTGGTTTTGGCAAATTTTGGTATAAAATGGGCCCTGAGATCATATTTTTCTCATTAAAATCACATATATCACGAATATTTATGTGTGTTGGGTGTATCCTCATTGGTATCAACCATTTCAATCATCTAGAGCAGCTTTCCTGATTCTTTATCTCATGAAAATGGGCAAAAAAGCTCATAAATAGTCCAAAATCGGTCATTTTCGCCGCTTTAATAACCTCATTCCTGGCACCCAGAACACTTTGGGTACTCAAAACATGATTTTTCGGATACCTCAGACCCCTAACTAGCACATGGAGCCAGAAAGAACAGCATGTAGGGACTTCTAAATTTCCATGGTTGAGAACCCAATGTCACACTATTCGTTCATTAATCCTGCTTTCACTGACGATATAACTTCAGGTACAACTACTGACAATATAACTTCAGGTACAACTACTGACGATATCGTCCCCTCATGGCATGACTGATGAAAGGGAGCTCCCACTCCAGCACCTTTTTCCTGACGGTCCATCATCCCTCCCTAGACGTTTTAACGGCAAGAAGGTACGAAGATGCGGCGACTGTTGATAATTGTGATTATAAATGCTAATTTTTACAGTTTTGTTTTTGCTTTCAAATATTCAACAATATGGAGCTAGTTTTCATGATATTTTCTGCGTGCACAAACTTTCTTAATTGTAACTTTTTTAAATGTAACGATTTGTTTCAGGTCTACTTCATCTCATCCAGAGTACACCCCGGAGAAGTGCCGGCTAGTTTTGTAATGAACGGTTTCCTAAGTTTCATCCTGCGACCCAGAGATCCTCGAGCTGTGTTGTTGAGGCAGCTGTTCGTGTTCAAAGTGGTTCCTATGTTGAATCCTGATGGTGTCAACAGTGGTCATTACCGGTCTGTTTCTATTTATAACTTTATGTCTTAATTAACTACTAGTATCTTTTCTATAAATACAATATTGATTGTTTTTTGTAATATGTTTTCTTGTTTGGAACATGGAATCAAGGTTTGAGATTTAAGTGGAATGAGTACTAGCAACACCAAATGTTTGGAGACAATATCGCTAAGGGTAACGAGTAACGACTCGTTTAAAATTATCGATGTATTCAGTATTATTCACATAATATTCACATATCCACATTATATCAGCGTCACAACACAACACATAAACCAGTCAGGAAATAACCCTGAAACTTAATCACTCTAACTGAAATCATGTCGACTTATGATTTACATTTAAATAATTAAAGTGATTTAATAATTAGATACCTAATAACATCACAATTAACAGAACGGACAGCAGAGGAGTGAATCTGAACAGGTACTACATTAACCCCTGTCCTAAACTACATCCCTCTATCTACGGAGCTAAAGCTATCATAATGTACCACCACAGAGGAGGTTAGAGCGTGCTGTATTAGAGTGCTGTATTAGAGTGCTATATTAGAGTGCTGTATTAGAGTGCTGTATTAGAGTGCTGTATTAGATGCTGTATTAGAGTGCTGTATTAGAGTGCTGTATTAGAGTGCTGTATTAGAGTGCTATATTAGAGTGCTGTATTAGAGTGCTGTATTAGATGTTGTATTAGAGTGCTGTATTAGAGTGAGCTGTATTAGAGTGCTGTATTAGAGTGCTGTATTAGAGTGCTGTATTAGAGTGCTATATTAGAGTGAGCTGTATTAGAGTGCTGTATTAGAGTGCTGTATTAGAGTGCTGTATTAGAGTGCTATATTAGAGTGCTATATTAGAGTGCTATATTAGAGTGCTGTATTAGAGTGCTGTATTAGAGTGCTGTATTAGAGTGCTATATTAGAGTGCTGTATTAGAGTGCTATATTAGAGTGCTGTATTAGAGTGCTGTATTAGAGTGCTGTATTAGAGTGCTATATTAGAGTGCTATATTAGAGTGCTGTATTAGAGTGCTGTATTAGAGTGCTGTATTAGAGTGCTATATTAGAGTGCTGTATTAGAGTGCTATATTAGAGTGCTGTATTAGAGTGCTGTATTAGAGTGCTATATTAGAGTGCTGTATTAGAGTGCTGTATTAGAGTGCTATATTAGAGTGCTGTATTAGAGTGCTATATTAGAGTGCTGTATAAGAGTGCTGTATGAGAGTGCTGTATTAGAGTGCTGTATTAGAGTGCTATATTAGAGTGCTGTATTAGAGTGCTGTATTAGAGTGCTATATTAGAGTGCTGTATTAGATGCTGTATTAGAGTGCTGTATTAGAGTGCTGTATTAGAGTGCTGTATTAGAGTGCTATATTAGAGTGCTGTATTAGAGTGCTGTATTAGAGTGCTGTATTAGAGTGCTATATTAGAGTGCTGTATTAGAGTGCTATATTAGAGTGCTGTATTAGAGTGCTGTATTAGAGTGCTATATTAGAGTGCTGTATTAGAGTGCTGTATTAGAGTGCTATATTAGAGTGCTGTATTAGAGTGCTATATTAGAGTGCTGTATAAGAGTGCTGTATGAGAGTGCTGTATTAGAGTGCTGTATTAGAGTGCTATATTAGAGTGCTGTATTAGAGTGCTGTATTAGAGTGCTATATTAGAGTGCTGTATTAGATGCTGTATTAGAGTGCTGTATTAGAGTGCTGTATTAGAGTGCTGTATTCGAGTGCTGTATTAGAGTGCTGTATTAGAGTGCTGTATTAGAGTGCTGTATTAGAGTGCTGTATTAGAGTGCTGTATTAGAGTGCAGTATTAGAGTGCTGTATTAGAGTGCTGTATTAGAGTGCTGTATTAGAGTGCTATATTAGAGTGCTGTATTAGAGTGCTGTATTAGAGTGCTGTATTAGAGTGCTATATTAGAGTGCTGTATTAGAGTGCTGTATTAGAGTGCTATATTAGAGTGCTATATTAGAGTGCTATATTAGGTGGTTTTTAACGTACCGATCAGTTTGCGAAGTTTAGAACAATTTTTCATACTTTCATACTTCTAGTAAAATGTTCACCAAAATAGGAAAACCGAAGAAAAAATGACGGTTATTTGTGTGCAGGGCGAGATTGTAAGTGTGGAGCTGATACAAAGTTCAAGATCTCCCGCCAACCTGCAGAAACTTCCCCTACAAATCTGGGGGACGGTAGTTCCACTACCACTTCTAGCAGTAGCAGGAGTTCAGGGTGCGCCGCTAAGGGTCCTGATTTAAAAAGCATAATCAGTTGCGAGGGAGATAATCAGCGGCTCAATAAACAAGTTCAGAGCATTCTTCAGAACCTTAGAAAGGTTTGTGTGGTATTTAAATCTAATAGTTTACTTATTGTTATACATGCATTGATGAAGATTGGTTTTCTTTATATTGAATCGAATTGATCATTATTTTTGGAAAACCTGCAATAACTGAAGAAGCCAGCTGAAACATCTTCAATATTACTACATGCAAATCCAACCTATTTTTTTCATTAAAGGTTAAGTTAACTTTCCAGTTTCCACAGGACATAGATTGCAGTGATGAGGAATTTCAGCTACGAATGGAGGCACGTGTTTCTGAGATATGTTCCAAGATGGCGCAACTCAACCAACAGTCTCTTGAGAAAACTGACGAAAACGATAAAAGAAAGAGGGCGAACCCCGGTTGGGAAATTTTCAGAATTATTATTTTGTCATTAGTAAAGTATTTTTAGTCACCACTAATTAAACACCAGCTCTAAACCACATTATTCCTCAACGCTCATCAGTACTCTAGTTCGACATGTACCCTAAGTACAGGGTTGGCCAAAAGTCAGTGGGCATACGTTGGCCTTAATAGCTCCGCCGTGTTTTATATTTGAGAGCTGTTGCTTTGCAGATGGCATACTGTACTTACTGGTTCGAGGATTCCGTCGTCAAAATTTGAAAATTCGAATATTTTGACCACGCCCATTCAATATTAAAACACCTATATATTGTTTTATCTTAACATACTGAACGCCTAATTTTTTCAGAGACAGTAGATTATTGATATAGTGATGGTAGTAAGTCATACCAGAAAGAATTATTTCAATTGGGCACTCAGTGATTGAGCTATTAAGGCCAACGTATGCCCACTGACTTTTGGCCCACCCTGTATATACGTTAATTTTTTTCTAAAAGTATTTCTATTGGTCCTAAGTTAATCTTTTCCTTAGATCACCGACTAAAATTATGACAAAAGCAATCTTGATCGAAGGAATGATATCTAGGTTAAGGAATTTAAAAACCTTTTTTGCTTTTTGGGATGCTAGGGTAAGGAACTCTTATAGGGAAAGATTAGGGATTGGGGTAATGGCTAGCAGCATGGGACCGTTTTTATCCACATTTTTGATCTTAAAGTCTCTGTACTTGACTAAAAAGAATATCACGTGATTTATCACCTGCTGTCTCACAGCGGAGTTGAGGTGACCATCCCCCTGTCCAGGTACATGTGACCGTCTTATCACCACCCATCACAAAATGATCCGCCTTACACTGAATCTCCACAGTTTGTTCCTCCGCATACTTTTGAGGTGCAGACGACCCATGCGGGGATGAATTTTCTATGACCGGTTCCGAGCATGTAACTGAAATATAGGAGGACGCATAATGATAATACGATTAATCCCACTCCAGTATTTAATAGAATTTAAGAGGTCCACGTAGTGACGTGGAAGCGATGACTCAAGTTAAAAAAGAATATTTATATAAACATCTCGTTGAAAATTTGTTATCATTCACAGTTTTAAAGACAAACTTGCGCCAATTTAGTTTAAGATTTTTCCCAAAAGTCAGCGACAGCAGGATGATGAGGTTTAACGATTACTAAAAGTACCGGGTTTTCTGCAAAAAGCGTAGTCATTGTACCCCAGGGGAATACTAGGCATCGCTATGTCGTTGAGATTACAGAATTCTTCAGTGTTGCTATGTTCAAAGGAGAGACAAAGCGGTAGAGCGTCACATCTATTAGCACATTCCTCTCTCGAAGCGACCCTCATCTTAATTCCCAGTTCTGCTGTGCCCCAGCCTGGAAGATCCCCCACTTCTAGGAAGTATCCTACAGGGCAAACGTCTGAAATTTTGAAGGGTGAAGTATCTATAAGTCAGTCACTAAGCCTAAAGCCGGAAGGTCGGAGGATAATCTTAGATATCGTATTAACCTCTTAGGCTCTTAATCAATGTACAGCTATGATGTACAGAGTTGTCATGTGAACTCTACCCTAGATCTAGCCAAGTTCTAGGGTGGCGATTAGATTTGAACCGTTCTGTGGATATGCTTATACGTTTTTGGTATATGAATAAGCTGTGTGATTGTGAAAATAAGCTATACCAATGTAATTTTTATGCTGATTTCGAATAGGACCTATTACTTAGCATGAAAATCATTTCTTGACGAGTTATGAGCAAATAACTATTTTGTCAGACGCGCACGTGACAGGCTTGTAAAACGATATTTCAGCTGTTAATGTTTTAGGATTCGAGTCAGTTTTGGTTTTAAAGTAATTGTAAAGATAATATAAAGATTTAAAGTACAGATTTGTGCACTTTAACTTTAAATACTTACCATAGAAATCAAAATTAGCATTTACAAATGTACACAGAACGGTCCAGATCTAATCGCCACCCAGTTCTAGGTCAATTAGATTCTACTGATGGATCACATCACTAATTCTCTAATTAATCGTAAATTATAAATATTTTTTGGCACTTCGCGCCACAGCCTGAATTTTTTGGCGCTTCGCGCCAAAGCCTGAATTCAAAATTTTTTCGGGAAGGGCAAAAGGAAATTGCGGCATGTGCGGAATCTCGATTTTTCCCATTCTCTGCAACAAATCTCGATTTTTCACGCATTTTCCTTTATTACATTTGCGTATTTTCCTTCAAATCTGCGGGCCAAATATCATGTTTTCTATAAGTATATGAAACCAATCACATCCACAGCCTTCCTAATGTAGGTACGGACTTTAGAAAACCGACAAAAATATTTTCGGCTCATGATGATCAGGGTAGCACGAAACATGAACAAAATTAGTTTCAAGAAAAACTTTGACATTTTTGACTTACCATGTTTCTCTACAATGGCAAACTCATTTACAAAGAAAGTTCCGCTTTTTAGAATCTTGACAGTGTCTCCGTATCTACAGTCAGAAACAGGAGGAAGGATGTCTGGTGCTGCCCCATCAATACTGACTGTCAAAGAGAACTTGCTGCATTTTCCCTCGCAGGAGCATTCCGTTTGGGAACATGTCCAAAAGAGTTTGATGTCACCATTCTCCTGCATCCATAGCCCCTTTGAAATACAGTGCACGTGATCAAGAGTCAGCTTCAGCCAGGCTACACCATCAGAACCGGTTTTTGTGTACGATTGAGTATCGAAATCCAGGTCTATAGCGTTGATAGCTCCATACTTCCTGTCGTTATTTTGTAGCGCATCGGTATGTTCAGCACTTACTGGTGGTACCTCGCTAGGAAGTCTTTCTCTCTGGGCTGAATAATAGACTCAGGGTATGAAGCAATGAAAATAAATGAATTTGAAATCGTCATCAGTACGACCGATCATTACCTATTAGTATTATAGTATTATACTTATAGTGCAAATTGGTACACATTGCATTAAGTACAACATCTTCGATTATACTATGTCAGTAAGTGCTTACCATTGAGAGCTTGAAAGAAGAGAAGTAGAAACGTCAACAAGAGAAATCTCATCATCATCAATGTCTCTAAAGTAAGCGAGCCCGAGGTTCACGCATTTATTAAGCTATCAAAGGAATTTGTCACATAAATTCACGGAAAAGTGATTATAGTTGAAATAACATCTAGATTCTAGACGAGTGATTGAACCATTTTTTCAAACAACCATTTGCAAATAACGATCACAGAACGTGTCTACACGCTCATAGCGTGTCTATGTAGAACCGACAGTTGTTTAAATGAATTGAGTACTTTAATACGATTTAATATTTAATACGATTCTTAGAAAACTACGAAATCGAGATATATATTCTTTACTAAACCCCAGAATCGGATGAAATGGACCGGATTTTGTTCAGTCTCTGTCCAGGTTATAACGCTCACCTATTGATATTGAATTGTATCTTAGTGTGATTTCCATGAGGCAAAGTAGTTAAAAGAAAAGAAATCTAAGCAACACAGATTGCTGCATTGCTGTAATGAGAGATAATGTAAGAATATAAGAGAGCTCTCGTCGGTAAAGGTACTATTTAGACCTATTGTGCCAAACAATGAGATCGTTTGGCTCGTGTCGGGGAGATGAAATGCCTTTGTCTAATGCATGCTGTAAATTGTGAAAGATAGATGAAAGCGAGATTCTTACTCCTTTGCTTTAACTTCAAAATACTAATGCTCACCTCCCTACTTATCCCTGGCCAGAAAATCTACATAACCAGTCCCCACTACTTAGCATGCCGAGGAGAAAAACATTCTACGATTCTAATCGTTCCATTAATCGTCGTAATGTAAGAATATGAAGAGAGCTGGTGTTGGTATTGTTCTTCTAGCGGTATCATCGACCCATTGTTAAATGCAATGAGATGTACACGTTCTGGCAAACAAGCTCTGAATTCGTCTCTGTCGAACTATAGTATGCTACCTGAACCATAGGTCGGCACGTACCAACTACCAAAGTTCGTGTCGAACTACAGCTACAGTACGATCATCAATCTAACTTTTGAAAATACTGACCAACAACCTCTCAGTGCAACTACGGACCGAAGTTGTGACGAAATACTGACCAACAACCTTTCAGTGCAACTTCGGACCGCAGTTGTGACAAAATACTGACCAACACCCTTTCAGTGCAACTAAGGACCGCCGTTGTGACAAAATACTGACCAACAACCTTTCAGTGCAACTACGGACCGCAGTTGTGACAAAATACCGACCAACACCCTTTCAGTGCAACTACGGACCGCAGTTGTGACAAAATACTGACCAACACCCTTTCAGTGCAACTACGGACCGCAGTTGTGACAAAATATTGACCAACACCCTTTCAGTGCAACTACGGTCCGCAGTTGTGACAAAATACTGACCAACACCCTTTCAGTGCAACTACGGACCGCAGTTGTGACAAAATACTGACCAACACCCTTTCAGTGCAACTACGGCCCGCAGTTGTGACAAAATACTGACCAACACCCTTTCAGTGCAAGTACGGACCGCAGTTGTGACAAAATACTGACCAACACCCTTTCAGTGCAACTACGGACCGCATTTGTGACAAAATACTGACCAACAACCTTTCAGTGCAACTACGGACCGCAGTTGTGACAAAATACTGACCAACAACCTTTCAGTGCAACTACGGTCCGCAGTTGTGAGCGAGATTCTTACTCCTTTGCTTTAACTTCAAAATACTAATGCTCACCTCCCTACTTATCCCTGGCCAGAAAATCTACATAACCAGTCCCCACTACTTAGCATGCCGAGGAGAAAAACATTCTACGATTCTAATCGTTCCTTTAATCGTCGTAATGTAAGAATATGAAGAGAGCTGGTGTTGCCTGTTGGTATTGTTCTTCTAGCGGTATCATCGACCCATTGTTAAATGCAATGAGATGTACACGTTCTGGCAAACAAGCTCTGAATTCGTCTCTGTCGAACTATAGTATGCTACCTGAACCATAGGTCGGCACGTACCAACTACCAAAGTTCGTGTCGAACTACAGCTACATTACGATCGTCAATCTAACTTTTGAAAATACTGACCAACAACCTCTCAGTGCAACTACGGACCGCAGTTGTGACAAAATACTGACCAACACCCTTTCAGTGCAACTACGGACCGCAGTTGTGACAAAATACTGACCAACACCCTTTCAGTGCAACTACGGACCGCAGTTGTGACAAAATACTGACCAACACCCTTTCAGTGCAAGTACGGACCGCAGTTGTGACAAAATACTGACCAACACCCTTTCAGTGCAACTACGGACCGCAGTTGTGACAAAATACTGACCAACACCCTTTCAGTGCAACTACGGACCGCAGTTGTGACAAAATACTGACCAACACCCTTTCAGTGCAACTACGGACCGCAGTTGTGACAAAATACTGACCAACAACCTTTCAGTGCAACTACGGACCGCAGATGTGACAAAATACTGACCAACACCGTTTCAGTGCAACTACGGACCGCAGTTGTGACAAAATACTGACCAACACCCTTTCAGTGCAACTACGGACCGCAGTTGTGACAAAATACTGACCAACACCCTTTCAGTGCAGCTACGGACCGCAGTTGTGACAAAATACTGACCAACACCCTTTCAGTGCAACTACGGACCGCAGTTGTGACAAAATACTGACTAACACCCTTTCAGTGCAACAACGGACCGCAGTTGTGACAAAATACTGACCAACACCCAGCACCCTTTCAGTGCAACTACGGACTGCAGTTGTGACAAAATACTGACCAACAACCTTTCAGTGCAACTACGGACCGCAGTTGTGACAAAATACTGACCAACACCCTTTCAGTGCAACTACGGACCGCAGTTGTGACAAAATACTGACCAACAACCTTTCAGTGCAACTACAGACCGCAGTTGTGACAAAATACTGACCAACAACCTTTCAGTGCAACTACGGACCGCAGTTGTGACAAAATACTGACCAACAACCTTTCAGTGCAACTACGGACCGCAGTTGTGACAAAATACTGACCAACAACCTTTCAGTGCAACTACGGACCGCAGTTGTGACAAAATACTGACCAACACCCTTTTAGTGCAACTACGGACCGCAGTTGTGACAAAATACTGACCAACACCCTTTCAGTGCAAGTACGGACCGCAGTTGTGACAAAATACTGACCAACACCCTTTCAGTGCAACTACGGACCGCAGTTGTGACAAAATACTGACCATCACCCTTTCAGTGCAACTACGGACCGCAGTTGTGACAAAATACTGACCAACACCCTTTCAGTGCAACTACGGACCGCAGTTGTGACAAAATACTGACCAACACCCTTTCAGTGCAACTACGGACCGCAGTTGTGACAAAATACTGACCAACACCCTTTCAGTGCAACTACGGACCGCAGTTGTGACAAAATACTGACCAACAACCTTTCAGTGCAACTACGGACCGAAGTTGTGACAAAATACTGACCAACACCCTTTCAGTGCAACTACGGACCGCAGTTGTGACAAGCTCTCAGACTGAGTTGACTGATCCGGATCAGAATATTGAGGTTAGAGCCTGTGTTTGCGGAGTGGCTCCTGAACCCCTACCTGTAAACAAGCAGCTCCTCGTTAACGGGGTAATTATTTCTTTTCTTTGTATTCTTTTGTTTCTTTCTCTTCTCGTATTTTTGAAAGGTACGACTCAGTGAAACTTATTTCACGACTTATTTCACCCTATGATTGGTATTGTTTTATACATATCATGAAACGGATCGTTTGCTCGCCAATTTTATTTGTTTCAATTGTTCGAATTATAATGCTCCTGCTTAACTGCAGTCGAGCACTCTCTTTGGGAAACCAAGCAACAACTATTTATTATTATTATTATTATATATTATATATATATATATATATTTCACCCTATATATATTATATATACAAGGTGATGCAAGGAAATTTTCAGACTAATTTATTCTCGCAGGGTGGCGTTCCAGAGAACATACACTCAGAAAGTGGTATTGAAATGTACGTGGACCTTCATGGACATGCTTCAAAACGGGGCTGTTTCATTTACGGAAATAATCTTGTAGATGAGCGTCAGGTTGGTTTCAAATACCAAGGGCTCAAGGGGAAATTTTCCCTTTAAACACGACGATAAATCTTCATTTTTTGAATGAAATCGGGGTTTAAGAAATCTCTCAAATTTCTCCTAAGAGGAAACTCAGAACATAATATTTTGAGTCCACTTTGAATTTAGGTCCCAAATTTCATATTTTCAACTACCTAAATTGTTGCATTATTTTAAATTTGTGGTTTTAGAAATCACATGGCGAATGTTTATTTGCAACATCTCTAAGTGCGATCAATTTATTTTCTCTTCTACACGTGATAAGAACATATTCTCAACCAACTCTGACCTTCTAATCGCTCTGCTTGGCAGCTGCATATTTCACATTAGATCATTGAGAAGCACTTTGATCCAATTGTCACAAGTAGGTCTGAAAAATGTCACCTGACACCTGAAAATATCTTGAATATTTCAGATAGAAAATATTCTCTATCCTCGACTTATAGCGTATAACTCGGTCCACTTTGACTTCTCGGGCTGCTGCTTTACGGAGAGGAACATGTACGCAAAAGATAAATCAGATGGGCTCAGCAAGGTATTACAACGATAACAACGATTGCAACGATTACAACCGCTTAAGCGCTCATGTGTAATTGTATTGCTTAAGACTTTAAGAGCGATTTTTGATCTCGTGCCCTGAAAATCGAGTCTAAAAATCTTCTCATAAATTTTTTGATCAATCACCCTAAAACTTTCAGGATATGTTCTAGGGACTATTTAGAAAAGATTGTCGGGACAGAATTTTGAAAAAGGCCTTCAAAACATCTTTATTCGATTTTGAAAATCTTGGACCTCGTTTTAAAATGACCTCTCCAAATTCTCCACCCTTTTCTCCACCTCTAATGATCTCCCTACTTCACACAGGAGGGCAGTGGACGAGTGGGTATCTTCAAAAGTACCGGTATAATACACTCGTACACACTGGAGTGTAACTACAACATGGGTCGCCAGTTAAACCAGCTGCCTGCTGCTAGTAAAGATAACGGTCGAGCTACTCCTCCTGTTACTGCTTCCTTCCCTCCTAAATATACTCCCGACAGTTGGGAAGAGGTACTATTTTGAAGACAGCTCTTTAGGAGACAACTCTTTAGGAGACAACTCTTTAGGAGACAACTCTTTAGGAGACTAATCTTTAGGAGACAACTCTTTAGGAGACAACTCTTTAGGAGACAACCCTTTAGGAGACAACTCTTTAGGAGACAACTCTTTAGGAGACAACTCTTTAGGAGACAACTCTTTAGGAGACAACTCTTTAGGAGACAATATCTAGAAGAATGATTTATTGAAAGACAATATATCCACATTTTGTCTTACGGGTATTAGATAATACCAGTAATTAGCTAATATTAGCTAATATCAGCTAATTGATGTGTAATTGATATGTGATTGATATGTTATTGATATGTAATTGATGTGTAATTGATATGTAATCGATATGTAATACTATATTCTCGCAGGTAGGTAAAGCACTAGCAGTAGGGTTGTTAGATATGCACAACGTGAACCCCTGGTCTCGTCTTCTCAACACTGACGTAGTGAATGTACACGGTCTCAGAGGGCTGATGTTGAGGACCAGCAAGGGAAACAATAGTACAGGTAAAAATTAATAATAGTTATAAATAATTACTGTAATACAGGTAATAATTAATAATAGTTATAAATAATTACAATAATATAGGTAATAATTAATAATAGTTATAAATAATTACAATTATGCAGGTAATAATTAATAATATTTATAAATAATCATAATAATGCTAAATGCAGGCAACGATTAATAATAGTTATAAATAATTACAATAATGCTGGTAATGATTAATAATATTTATAAATAATCATAATAATGCTAAATGCATGTAATGCTTAATAATAGTTATAAATAATTACAATAATGCAGGTAACGATTAATAATAGTTGATTTGATTTGAAACTTTTACAAAATAGCAAATATAAAAATGTACAGCAAGTCGAACAAACATATAAAATGGGCCGAAATGTATAAATGCTATAAAGCGTGGGTCAGTGAAACAAGTACAGAGGACAACTTTCAAAACAGGAGTTTTATGGCCGCCCAAAGTCTCAATAACATCACCTCCACCTAGTAATAAAATTATGAAATATGAAAAGTGTGAAACAATCAAATAATAAAATATTCAAAATATATAGTTGTCTCTTAAATACAGATAACGTCTGAAAATTCTTAAAATAATCATCACTCCTTCATATATACTGATCAGTGTCCGAGAGTGTAACTCATGATGACTTCTTATCACGGCTACATACCTTCCCGTACCGGATGTAGTGGTCGAGATGAGTCTGTTCCGCCCTCTTCTTCTTCAGGTCAGTGACCAGATGCTTCCTTGTTGCTCGTTCTTCGCTGGATCTGTCTGGACATATCCATACATCTTTGTGCTTCTCCCTCAGTCTCCCTGTTTTCATCAGAATCTGATGAACCGCTGTTGAGCTTGGGACGGTGATCTTGACTGGTCGGATAGCCGTACTACCTGGCCTCTTCCAACCGACTCTAGTCGCTTCGAAGTGAGGTTTCTCCCCGATCTCCTCCAAAACTGCGGTAACTAGCGCTGGAAGCTGTTCGTCCTCCTCTTCTTTCAGCCCAAACACGATCAGGTTCTTGCTCCTGTCCTCCTCTGCAGCCACACTCTTCATCACCTTCTTCAGGATTTTACTGTTGCAGACCGTACCACTTGCACTGTTCTGTTGAACAGCTGCACTATAGTTCTGAATCCCTGACTCCACCGTTGTTTGGACTGTCTCCTCAACAGACGTCTTAAGCAACTGTAGTTGTTCGTCCTTCTGCATCAGCAGCTGGCCCTGCAGTCTGATCACCTTTTCTTTGTCTGCTAGTGCTTCCGTCTTGAAGCACTCGATGATCTCCTTCAAGAGATACATCTGACTATTCTGCCGACGAACAAGGTCCACTGCATCCACAATCCAGGCAGACAGAGTCTGTTTATCCTTAGTCTTGATCTTTTCACGACTTTCGTAGTCAATTTCACGGTAGTCCATATGCAGGTCTTTTTCTAACTTATCGGACCAGCGTGCAACACAGCCTTCCACATCTTCCTGTTGATCATAGTTGAACTCCTTAATCAACTCCTGGGATCGGGTCAAAGTTGGGTCATCCCCCATAGTGTACTTGTATAGTAATGTACAAGTACACACGCAAAGGTAAACTACACGGTAGCAGCAAACTGAACTTATTGCAAATTTACAAAAGATAAGAGAGCTCGGTATTTGCAACACAAGCTACACTGATTACAGTGTGTAACACTAACTTGTAAGTAATAACGATAATCATACACTATACAGGTAATGATTAATAATGGGGGCTGTCATGGTGAGTAGTGGCGGCCAGAGATGGCGTTCTTTTTATTCTTTGTTATTGGTCTTCTTTATCACAAAATAGAAATATCGATGGCCGATGAATTGGAACTTGACACCCCATGGCAACATTAAATCATATCGATTCTGTTACATCGCTTCCTTTTGGTGCTATGTTGGAAAAATTGGTTGAGTCGTTCAATTGATTTCAGTAAAACTTATTTCCAGTAGGAAATATTTATCAGTTGTTATGTTATGAGAACGAAATGAGCCGGCAGGCGGCAAGCCACTATATGTAAGCGTACGCACCAGTAAAAACGAAGCACTATAAAATTTAATGGTAGTGTTCTTATATTTGATCCTTCGAACAGCTGTTGAGCAATGAAACGCAAACATAATCTTAGCAAAATGAATATATTTCTTTTATCTTCAGCATTTAATCAGTCACATAATCTGAGAATATCAATGGTTAGTTTGAAAATGTCAAAAATTCTCATCAAAATATAATAATGTGGAGTCTGCAGTAGTTCATTAAATCAAAAAAACGCAATTCAAAAATTGATAGACTGCATATATAAACAAAAAATGGACGATTTAAAAATAAAAATTAAATTAAAATTCGGTTTAAAAATAAAAATAAAATTAAATATCCGGCTTCAAAATCCGGTTCCGGTTCCGGCTCCGGCTGGAAAAAAATTTGCCGGATTTTTGCCGGATTTCAGTTTTTTTTACCGAAAAAAAAAATCAAAAAAATATTTTCGGCTAATAATGAACAGGGTAGCCTGAATCGTGGAAAAAAAGTGGTTTTAAGAAAAACTTTTAAAAAATTTTGACTTAGAAGTTTTTCGGTCCGAGTCGTTCTCGAGACGTACCTCCTGTATCGAGAGCTCCCGCTTCCGAGCTCGTGTTGCAAAGGGGAGGCCTGCCTTCCAAGATCACATTACCGGGGGAAACCTCGAGTCCAGAATTGTGTATCGATGGGTAGGTGCGGACTTCGAAAAACCAAAAAAATATTTTCGGCTAATAATGAACAGGGTAGCCTGAATCGTGGAAAAAAGTGGTTTTCAGAAAAACTTTGAAAAATTTTGACTTAGAAGTTTTTCGGTCCGAGTCGTTCTCGAGACGTACCTCCTGTATCGAGAGCTCCCGCTTCCGAGCTCGTGTTGCAAAGGGGAGGCCTGCCTTCCGTGATCACATTACCAGGGGAAACCTCGAGTCCAAAATTGTGTATCGATGGGTAGGTGCGAACTTCGAAAAACCAAAAAAATATTTTCGGCTAATAATGAACAGGCTAGCCTGAATCGTGGAAAAAAGTGGTTTTCAGAAAAACTTTGAAAAATTTTGACTTAGAAGTTTTTCGGTCCGAGTCGTTCTCGAGACGTACCTCCTGTACCGAGAGCTCCCGCTTCCGAGCTCGTGTTGCAAAGGGGAGGCCTGCCTTCCAAGATCACATTACCGGGGGAAACCTCGAGTCCAGAATTGTGTATCGATGGTTAGGTGCGGACTTCGAAAAACCAAAAAAATATTTTCGGCTAATAATGAACAGGGTAGCCTGAATCGTGGAAAAAAGTGGGTTTCAGAAAAACTTTGAAAAATTTTAACTTAAAAGTTTTCGGTCCGAGTCGTTCTCGAGACGTACCTCCTGTATCGAGAGCTCCCGCTTCCGAGCTCGTGTTGCAAAGGGGAGGCCTGCCTTCCGAGATCGCATTACCGGGGGAATTCATGTCGCGCCGGACACAAAGATGTTGCGTGTCTTACAGTTACCACCTGATTCTGACTGGAGTGTCCATTATTGAGACCCATGAATTTGGCCACTAACAAGGTGACAAGTTTGCAGGTCTGCCTTTTCTTCTTCTCACCAGGTTTGGTGCATGGGTCAGTTGTTCTTGACTCTAACCTGGTATGTTTCCTAGAAAATGTACAAGTTTACACTCTCGGCCCAAGCACGCTTCGCTCACACAGTACCCATTTATTATTCCCATCCGAAGCGTGTCTAAACTCAATTTGAATGGCACTAAGTATTGATCCATACAGTTACACCTATAGTGGATAATATGTATAAAAATAGTGAGTTTGCTGTACATTTTAAAAGAACCACTGCCCAATAAAACACTGAAAAATAGGTACTGAGATCACGGGTAATATTCGTACCTGCTACCTATATCGAAAACAAGTGGCCTTGGCTGGTGGCTGACTGAAGACTTGCTGCAAGATAACCTCCAGCCCTTTTTTGTGAGAAAACCATCTGAAAAGTCACCACATTCGCTGCGTATTTTCGTTCGCTCCTCCGTCCTAAGACAGACTAATTAACTCTTTAGGCCAAGAATCTAACACAAAGTAAGTTAAGGGGGCATCCGGCATACGCCAAAACGTGTGTACACGGTGTGTACCGCGTACACACCGTGTACACACCGTGTAGATACCGCGTACACCACGGCGAGTAACCTGAAGCTAGTTTCCACAGGACCAGGCGTACTCCGGCGACTTGCGTACGCAACCAGTAAAATAATGAACAATAACAGCACCATCACCGCTGATAACTCTAAACCACCCCGACCTGGCAACAACAAGGTCCGGCAAAACAAGGGACCTTCTTCCGAGTCCAGACACAATCTCCGGAGAATTACTAACGCTAGCAGAACTGATCTTAGTAAACACGATCACAAGGATTCTCTTGATACAGGTTTAGTGGTAAAAGTGGGAATTGTTGCGTAATTTTTATTCTATTTTTTAATTCAATTACTTATTTCTTGAAGTAAGTTCATTTTGTGGTTAAGTACCCGTTTAATACGATCAAAGTTGTCATGATAAAAACTTCTTGTTTGAACAAGCTGTGTCTCTATACTGATCAAGTAATTATCTGGTTACAGAATCAGACAGCTGTAGCAAGTCAGATATCACAAACACAGCCAGAGACACAAAGAGACAAGCTGAGAAAGATAAGCTAAGTGAAAGTGAAACTAACAAGGCTTTCAAGATGGGTGAAAGTGAAAGCAAACCTGGAGAATGTACCGATAGTTCATCTGGGGGTAATACTAAACAAGGTTTGTTCTGAGTTACTATGTATTTTCATATCGGACGTAAGAAATATTTATTTCTCTGAGATGCTCAGCTGTCAACTTTTTTCTTAAACCTATCAGAATATGTACCAGATGTTTACGGAAATTAACCTGATATATCGTTAATTAATAATTCAATACATATTGATAATTAAACTGTTACAGACAAATCGAAGCGTGACAGGAGCACATTGCTGCGTCAAACCTCCGCATCCCTCGCAAAGCGTTCCGAGAAAAGCGTACGCAAACAAACATCGTACGAGGATAGCAGCAGGGAACTCAAAGAAACGAACAACTCCACTGATGGCATGGATCTGAAGAACGAGATAACGGTTCAGTACAGGTTTGTTAGAGGATCCTCTGCGCAAATTGTCTCAAAAATTTTGTTTTCCAAAAGCTAAAGTATATAATTGTATGATCAGTGAAAAAATTTTATTGGAAAAATGACCTTTCAAAAATATAAATAAAATCATTCAAAAATAAATTTTAGCAATTGGCATCCGAATTATATTCCATATTGATGATTAAACGTAGCAGTATAGACTTAAACCTGAAATGGAAACATAACAACTTAGCAGTCTTGTTTTTAATATTGTTAGGACAAATGTTTATCAATCAAAGCCACATTAACGGCCACATGTCGCCACCTTGCAGCTGCCATTTCTTACAATATAAAATACTTTTACTAACTTAACTAATAATTCTGCCATTTGGTGAATGGTCCTCCGTAGGTCAAAGTGAGCGTTGTTGTGGTGAGTGATAAGAAATTACCACTATACACAGTACACAGTACACAGTACACAGTACACATACAACGTACACATACACATACACAGTACACAGTACACAGACACTGTAACAACAGTACACACAGTACACAGTAACACAGTAACACAGTACACAGTACACAGTCACACAGTACACAGTACACAGTACGTAGTACACAGTACACAGTACACAGTACACAGTACACAGTACACAGTACACAGTACGTAGTACACAGTACCCAGTACACATACACAGTACACAGTACACAGTACAACAGTACACAGGACACAGTACACAGTAACACAGTACACAGTACAAAGTACAACAGTACACAGTACACAGTACACAGTACACAGTACACAGTACACAGTACACAGTGTGCACCTAATTATCACACTTTTAAAGTCATCCTAAAATGCCATTAAATTTAAGAACAGGGACCCAGTGTAAAGTTTAAAGGACGCTTCAACTGTACAGCAGTAGGTTTGCCGTTAGTCTGTACGGAGCCCTAAATTGATAATCACTCTCTAAGGGACGGTTAGTGATTCTATCAGAAGTTCGTTTGAATACGAAAAACATGTGACCACCTTACAGTTGTGGATTCTGGTGGGGAGGTGAAGCACATTTTTGAAACGTGAAAGTAATTCTGGGTTTTGATTGGTTAAAAGTCGAGACTGATTGGTTCATTTCTATCACGAGTGTTTACTTAAATAGTGACTAGTCGACCAGTGAATACTCTGCTAGTGAATTCTAAATCGTATCAAGCTGCCATCTCCAATATCCACACATTAGACTTCCCACATGCCCCTCGACCACCTCATTAGACTTGTAAATACTCCTTTAATCATACTCTTCCTCCGGACCATCCTCCCAGTAGAGCTTGTAAATACTCCTTTATAATACTCTTCCTCCGACCACCCTCCAGTAAGCGATGGTAAATACTCCTTTTATAATACTCTTCCTCCGACCACCTCCAGTTAGAGCTGGTAAATACTCCTTTATAATACTCTTCCAACCGGACCACCTTCCAGTTAGAGCGTGGTAAAATACTCCTTTATAATACTCTTCCTCCGGACCAACCTCCAGCCTTAGACTGGTAAATACTCCTTTATAATACTCTTCCTCCGGACCACCTCCAGTTAGAGCTTGGTAAATACTCCTTTATAATACTCTTCCTCCGGACCACCTCCAGTTAGAGCTTGGTAAATACTCCTTTATAATACTCTTCCTCCGGACCACCTCCAGTTAGAGCTTGGTAAATACTCCTTTATAAAACTCTCCTCCGACCAACCTCCATTAGAGCTTGGTAAATACTCCTTTATAATACTCTCTCCACCACCTCCAGTTAAGCCTTTTGGTTAAACCTCTTTATAATACCTTTCCTCCGGACCACCTCCAGTTAAGCTTGTAAAACTCCTTTATAATACTCTCCTCGGACCACCTCCAGTTAGAGCTTGGTAAATACTCCCTTTAAAATACTCTTCCTCCCGACCACCGCCAGTTAGAGCTTTGGTAAATACGCCTTTTATATAACTCTCCCCCGACCACCTCCAGTTAGAGCTTGGTAAATACTCCTTTATAATACTCTTCCTCCGGACCACCTCCAGTTAGAGCTTGGTAAATACTCCTTTATAATACTCCGTCCTCCGGACACCTCCAGTTTGAGCTTGTAAATACTCCTTTATAAAACTCTTCCTCCGGACCACCTCCTTTAGAGCTTGAAATTAACTCCCTTTATAATACTCACCCTCCGGACCACTCCAGTAGAGCTTAGGTAAATACTCCTTATAATACTCTTCCTCGACCACCTCCAGTTAGAGCTTGGTAATACTCCTTATAATACTCTTCCTCCGACCACCTCCATTTAAGAGCTTTGGTAGATACTCCTTTATAAACTCTTCCCTCCGGACCACCTCCCAGTTAGAGCTGGTAAATACCTCCTTTAAAAACTCTTCCTCCGGACCAACTCCAGTTAGAAGCTTGGTAACATTACTCCATTAATAAAACTCTTTCCTCCGGACCACCTCCAGTTAGAGCTTGGTAATACTCCTTTATCATACTCTTCCTGCACTCTACACTCTACAGGTCTCTTTACAGCGGGGTGTACAAGTTAGACGTAGAAGAAGAGCCCTACTCCTGTGTCAAGAAGATCTTCCCCACAACCACTATAAAGCCAGTTATACCTCCTACTGATAAGCATGCTTCTCTCTGTAACTTTATAGACCTCTCTGATAACAATAAAGGTTCGTACATTTATCTTCTGCCATTCACCAACCCATGTTAAAATTAAATTGTGAACCCAGATTGGGATCATTCTATGTTTTGTCTCTTTATTTGTATCCAGTGGCAAGTGCATCCTTAGTTCGGGTCAAGATCTCATCCTAAAAACTGTTTTCAGGTCCTATTAGCCTGACGAAGGACCCCATTGGTGATGAAATTCCGGAGGTTGATCTCACCCAAAGTCGACGGAAGGTAAACATGGCCCCTTCAGAATCCTTAGACCCAAACATGCAACTAACTGTGATTTGACTTACCGATTACTTCACGAATCAATTGAAATTTCAATCATTATTATCGGAACTTATAATGGCTAATAAATGAATATACGATTATTAACCAGCTGTAACACTACCAGGTGAGTCTGTCCCCCAAGACGGTGTCCTGTGGACAACCTGCCGTCACTAGTCACGTGACACACTCCAAGATACCGAGGAAATCATCAACTACAGGGTATTACCCCGCTCTAAGACAAGGGTTTGTCAGCGGATTTATTAATTAATTGGTTAATTAGATAATAAGTCCCAAGAAGCCCGATCAAGTCCGTGCACTAGTCCGCGGACGCTAGCTACATATCATAGCAAGTAGGGTTGGTTTACATCATCGCACGCAAATTTCAACAGTTTCAAGCTTGTTAGGCTTGTTACACGATTAAACTACCTTTACGAGATCACACCATGCAATATATATATATATAAACAATCAATATTATTGTTACCTCTTCTCTCGATAAATGGTAATTGATAATACTCCACAGAACTCGAATGACTTATAACCATATTTTAATTGTAATCATCATTTTCATTCAGCAATTTACTGCGCTACAATTAATGCTATTCGTAACTAATTGCATCCAAGATACCATTCTTACCATGTCATAAGTAGTCCGCGGACTGGGTCGGACTTCTTGGATACCGCCGTCAATTACAGCTTTACAGCACTGACAGTTTCTTTTTTGGAGTAAATTAATTTCCTGTATTGAAATTATAAATCGTAAGCAACGATATGAGATCATCAGTTCCTTATCTTCGTCCAAAGTTGCAGATAATACTCAAATAGTTAATTGAGGAATAAACACAGTAGGAAAGACAGCCCTGGCGCTAAACGTTTTCTTAACTGATAACTCTCATTTAACTTTGTGATCCAATGTGATCTTATCAAATCACATGTTATTACATCATAATCTTGTCACATCACATGTTATAGCGAATAATCGTCCCGATTATAATATAATCAGTGACTCATCACGATAATGATCATGACCATAACGTTGTGGCGTGTTATCTTGCATGTCGCTACATCATGAGTGGTGTGAGAGGTATACACTATATTCTGTGTACACAAAAACTACATATTATTACGTAGAGCGTTTGATTCAGCTTACCAACAGTTTGCTTTAAATAAAAAGAGTTTGGTGTAACGTGCGAGAGAAAGCATTGCCACTTAAGTAAAATATTAATATTCTGTTACATTTTACTAAATTGTACTTGTTATGTACTAAACCGCATCGTCTAAATGTGGTCGACCATTTTTACAATTTTTACAAGTTCTAAAATTTTACAAGTTTTACAAGCTAGCTACTGTTTATGAGACATGTAAAGTAATTGCACATGTTAATTTTAGAATCTAGAACTTGGTTCAGTGTGGATACAAGTAGACCAAGAATGGAACACACAGCTGCATTCAATTAAGTAATTCCATATATTATTACACAAATTTTATTTCATTTCGTACATAGTTACTTAATTACTTCACTCTGACCTCCGTCTCCATCGCTCCCTCTTGTCCTATCTCTATATCTAGTCCTATCTCTAGACACCTGATCTGAGTCCTTTGAATAGAAACAGTACCCTGCTCTAGGTCACTCCTCGAAGGCAGATGGTGGGTGGCATCGTGGGAGGTGTCACGTGGGGTGTCACGTAGGGTGTCACGTGAGCCGTCACGCGGGGTGTCACGTGGGGTGTCGGTCCCCATTGGTAAGGGGTGAGAGGTGTCCGTAATGGTGGCTACCCGCTGCTTGTTGTAGTTGGGGACACTCCGTCCTGAGCTTAGTTTGATGGCAGATAGGGACATGGTTCTGTGGACTAGCCGTCTGGCGGGGGGCACGTTTATAACTTCAACTGTTCGCACTGAATTGTTGTTTGTTTTACTATCGTAATTGTTGATGTTTGATATCAATTATCAACCAGATCAGCAGTAACGCCTAGAAATATTTACCAGGATTCCGATCGTGCTTTAAAGCAGTAAATACTGACTTAAATCGTGAATAAATAAAATTAGATTGAATTGTGAACAAATATAAACTTGCATACCTCGTCTCAATGTCTTGTGATAACTATTAACTCCATCTCTTTCCTGGTGGTCATGTGATCTGCCGTTGTGAGAGTGATTATTGCGATGGTCCGAATCATAGTGGTCAATTTTATGGTGATGGTATTGGCGAGACTTGTGTTGGAAGTTGCCTTCTGTATCCTGGTCATGTTGTACGAGTTCGTGTATCACCGCCGCCACTAAATTCTGAACTACTGTGGTATCTGCATCTTTCTGAGTAGGGAATATGTTTGAGGGATGGTGATCAAACCCGAGCTTCTGCTACAAGTTCTGATAGCCATAGCTATAGATTTTGTTAATAGCAAAAAGGCTTTCTGGGAAAGCTTATCCAAACATATTTTGTCAAGTGACAGCAATTTTCGAAATTGATTGGTCGCTGCTAGAAGATGATCGGTTTAAACACATATTTTGTTATAAACATTAACTTTAACCGTCACCTTACCGATCTCAGTGCTATTTTGTATCTACACTTCCAAGTAAAAGCGCACATAACGACCGCAAGAGCTATGATAAGACAAATCACTATCGCAGTGTAGTCGTAACCTCTTAACATATTATCCGAACGGGACCTTCTTTAATAGAGTATTATAATATAAAGTGATAAAGTAAATAAAGTAATAAGGTAATAGAGTATTAAAATAATGAAGCTGTGAGGAATTATATTTATATGTTATAGTCATAATGTAAGTGAATGTTTTGTTGAGAGCACCAAAAATTCATATTCGAAATAAATTCATATTCTTACTAGTCCATTAAGTATGTAATTAATATGTAATGAGTATGTAATTAGTATGTAATTAGTATGTAATTAGTATGTAATTAGTATGTAATTAGTATGTACATACAGTAAAACCTTGATCTACCGCGGAGTTTGGGGGAAAGGAAACAACCGCGGTAAATCGGGGTTTATGTTAAATCGGGTGCGGTTAAAATCGGGGTTTTACTATATCTTATTATCTAACATTAGGGTTTGCATTATCGTTCCAAAATATTTTATCGAGATAATCGATAAATGTTTAGGAATTATGGAGATATTATCGGCCAATAATTTGGTCATTAAATTTGAACTAATAATAATATCACAGTTGTAAGTAAGGTATTCGGAATTCGGATTTCAGTACACAAATCCGAACTCGTAAGTCATTTCAAAATGAATAATATTCATATTATTGCATGTACTTCTACAGCTATTTCAAGAATCAAAGAAAAGCAACAGTGAACAACCGAAAAGTGTCTGTGACAAATTTTCAATTCAGTTCTTTTTATACCATATAGAGAAATGTTATATTTTTGTTTTGGTAATCTTGTAATCAAGGAATGCTGTTTCTGTCTCTTGACAATAGTTCTGTTTATAATTTAGATTGCAAGACTATATAATAAGCTCTACTCTGTATTTAAAATAATGTAGGTATGTGACTAGCAAGTTATATTAGTAATTATTACACTAGAATTACTACTGTTCATGAGAAATAGCATATTTACCAAGGATTAAATCTTATTCTTAAATTTCTATTTTTAAGTTGGATGTATTTTTGTCCAATTTTAACGGTTATATCTAAATAAACCGACAAACATTTTGAGCCGATAATGTTATCGAGATATTATCTCGTTGCATACCCTATATCTTACAGTTTTAGGCACCGTTTTCCGTTTTATGACAGCAAAAAAGCAAGCAATTCAAAGAAGAATTTGAACAGTTAATATAAGGACTGAAATACGAAAATCTTGACTCTAAACTTGTCGACTTAAATTAAACTGAACTTTTCTGAGGCTTTTAGCACCTAGGAAAGTGTTTTAGAGTTTTAAAAGTGCCACTAAAGTATTATCGCGACCAAGTTTCATCACTATACAAAACCTGCAAATATTCCAAACAATACGCATACATAATACAGCTGGGATGTTGTGATGATATGACTGTGTTTGTTTTCACTGTAACTTCACCAGTAACACACAGTGTATTGCAGCACACTGTGAAACTGTACAACCTTGCTGCAACACGTTTTACACATAATCGAATAAAACCACTTACCACAGTCTTATTATATACTGTGAAGCTGAGGTTATAATGAAAGAGCAAAGAAACAAACTTGACCGACCAGCATGATTATAATAACCACGAAATGAGCGCTCCCTGAGAAGGTTTGTGCGAGTGTGGAAATTGAAGAGGCTGCGTAAGTCACTCTCTGCGTAAGTCACTCTCTGCGTAAGTCACTCTCTGCGTATTGCGTAAGTCACTCTCTGCGTATTGCGTAAGTCACTCTCTGCGTAAGTCACTCTCTCTGTGACTTACGCAGCTCAGGATTGGTTAAACTTTAACATTCACTCAGTTATTTCAATATCGTAACAAATGAATTTTTGGCCTGGTACCTATTATTCATTGGTGGATGTTCTTTGTTGTGAGTGTACAGGGTGAGTTGAAAATAGTGTGTGGAAAGTAAAAATCGATAATTTTTTTAATGAAGGAGCAAATTTTGAAAGGTGAATTGCTATCAGTTCATAAACTTTACATATTTCATTCTTGCCTCTCATTTGATTCTAACTCATAATTTGGTTGATTTTTGGCAGTTTTCCAAAAAACCTTTGACCGGCAATAATTTCGGCTAGGAACGATATTTTTCCACGGCATCAAAAGCATCTGATAGATATTACTCCCCTCTATCAGAAACAACTAACTAAAAAGTCGATTTTGAGAAAATTTCCATGAAGACCCCCCTGCCCCCATAATACAGTCAAGTCGGCTATAGACAATTGTCTTACACGTTATCAATATGTCCTAGCTAATAAAGGACGATGGGTTGAGCAAATTATTAATTATTAAGTATTTTAATTGTATTATTATAAAAAGTATATATTTTCATTACCTAAATATGCAAAAATTAAGTGGAAATTTCATTTGTCAAACAAATTAGAGCCATTTACTTTCCACACACTATTTTCAACTCACCCTGTATGTAGCCGCTTGTAGGGGAAATTAATCTTCCGTTAAGTAAACGCGTCAACTGGACCTACATAAAAAGGCGTTCATTAACCTTGAAAATCCAATAGAATGCTTCACTGGTACAGTCAATTCATTTAACAGATATATTATATATATATATAATATTATATTTCGTAGGATTGTGTAAAGTAGTCTAACAAACTTCATGATGGAACAATCGTGTTTCAGCCGAGAACCTTCCCATCAGCCACTTCTGTCGACCACATATTATTACAGTATGAATTGTAGACTACATCATCATACTCTCCATACCATATTAATATTCACAGTCAACATTCATATGCACTGGACTATATAGTGAAATGATTAATCATTATACACGAGGAGACGATGTTATAAGGTTGTTGTGAGTAATTGCAGTTTAGCGAGTGTATCGAGTGCTCTGTGCTGAGACAGATTTCTTCCGATAGCTGTTATTCGGGAAAGAAATGTAGTTAGTATACTGTGCTTCATGATATATGTGCTTCATGATATATGGCTACCATTTTTATTTAAATAAACCGAGATGTGTATTATTATGGCTTAAATACAGTGTACGCATCATACTATCAAATTGTGTGATACAGTCTGAAAATGTTATTATAACTAGCAGGAACCCGTCTTACCCTAAAGTGGTGTCAAGACTCGAGAGACTAAAATATTTATTACCTATTTAATTCGCGTTTTTGACACCACTTGAGAGTCCAAATTTTGGGCACTAAAATTATTATTCCTTGGCCAATTTTTTATTTTTTCATGCTGATTCGAAGGCCATTAAAGCATTTGACCCAGTCAAAAAAGTTTCAGTTGTATATCTTTTACGGTTTTTTCGGAAAGTCGCGTTAAAATTGATGCCGTGGTGTCAGTAAAATGGCACGGATATATACACATATATATATATATCGTCTCGCTTTATATATAGTAAGATTGCCATAGTTTATGCCATATAAGTACATCTTTACTTTCAGGAGGTTAACAAGGAAGTCAGTTAAAGGGAAGAACAGAGAGTGGCTAAGAGAGTGGCATGCAAATGGTGACAGCAACTCTACAGGTCAGCAACCAGCGTGTTATTATTATTGGGTCACAGTTATAAAAAATTATAAAAATTATCCAATTTTGGAAATTTTTTCTTGGAAGAAAGTAGAAACTAGACTTTAAATTTAATGCATCAAATTCTTTTTAAGTTTTTTATTATTATTAGTAATAACTATCACGTGTATTATCACGTGATATGAACCATTTAACTTTCACCGCTGACATATGCCAGACACATTTGAATGAAATCAAAACGTCTACTAGGGAACTATTCAGAAGCTAGTGTCACAGTATGTCAATCTCAGCGTCGTCACGTGACAGTCATTGTATAATACATGTTAGCCTTCATTTCTTGTGCTTGTCAAGTGCAATTTTTAGTGAAATGTCTCTGATGAGTTCATCAAGCATCATTGTTGTATGTTCATTACGTGTTTGATTCGTTAAATATTATGATCTTGAAATTTGGATTATCAATTAATATTTGTGGTCATTTAAAGTTCTCTGTTTGTTTGAAGATGGAAAAGAACTGGTTTAATCTTTTAATTCTATCTCATAATCAAAAGCTATATTGTTGGTCAGCAACAATCAACAAATCAAAACCACCATAGTTATTGTGATATATCCTTCATATCTATGATAATAGCTATTTCATATGCGTCCTGGATCTGGAATTCATAAACAGTGTTTAAGTATAATTAGTTTTCTTAAATAGTGTTAAAGTATAGTAGTACATAGTTATATAGTACATATAATAGTATCATAGTATATATTATATATATACATATATATTTATATAAAGTATATGTACATATACACAAGTATATATATATATATTTCATGGCTGGACTTCTACACAATAAAAGAAAGCGGTTGTGATTAGATCTTCGAAAGTCTTTGCATCGTTTATTTACATCAATTCTGAGATATATATATATATATATAATAAATAGTTGTTGTTTGGTTTCCCAAAAAGAGTGCTCGACTGCAGTTAAGCAGGAGCATTATCTGATGATTGGTATTGTTTTTATACATATCATGAAACGGATCGTTTGCCCGCCAATTTGATTTGTTTCAATTGTTCGAATTATATATATATATTATATATACATAGTATAAAGTACATATAGTATCATGGTCAATAGTAATACATGATAGCGCAAAAATTATACTTTCAAGTCTCGGCGGGGACACCAAACGTTTAGTTTGTGATAAAAGCACCCTTTTCAGTCGTTAGTGTAAGATCGAAAGGCGCGCGACGCGCGCGCACAACATATTAAGTAAAATACAATTTCAAATTTGCAACATTCAAATTTTCAGGATTCCCTGCCATCAAATGAAAGACCGGCTAAAATAACGTCGTTACGTACCTGCTCTGGAGTTCACTCAGAGAAAGGACCAATACTCTAAACATTGCACCAGGCGAAAAGATCGGGTCAGACAGATTACTCAAAACCCATCACGTGACCAAACAGTTTAAAAAGCTTCAAGCTTGGTTTTGTCATATTCAGTATTGCACATCTCAGTTGGCAATTGGCATCAGTGTATGTGCTTGTTTTCTGTAATGTGTATAGTATAATTAAATTGCGTATACGTTTATGTATTATATCAGAATTCTATATTTCTATCGCCAGAAAAATTCTATTGTACATGCTATCACATTTTTAATGATTCATGAATGGATTATACAAATTATTTAATAAATAATGCCAATGATATATTCAATATTATGTTTTAATGTTTTTGTTTCTTTTCAAGAAAGAAAAGGCCTTAAAAACGAAGTTTTTAAAAATCAAGACAACAACAAATTTTCAAATTGTCCTAAGTTGTACATTGTAACATTGAACATGTAAGTTAAATTAACTGTCCTAAATTGTAAATAATAACGGAATTCATACTAGTCAATGATAAAGCTATAAAGTCAGTTACTGTGTCAAGTGTTTACCTGGGGATATATAATCTATACCTAGCTTGCTAGTCTCTATAATTAGTAGAGGCTCTTACGGGCAAAAAGACGTGTTTTCTGCTGTGAGTTTGGAGACCTAACCATTAATTTGTTTGTTTGTTGTTAAGTAGATACATACAACGGTTTTAATATTATTTCATGGCAGTTGGCACATTACAGGATTAAATTGAATTTATATTTTTATTAAAATGCTCATTGTAGCCATAATATATTTTAGATTTTCGCCATCATCATAACCATTAAATTTAATTAGACACAATAGTATGATGTGTAAGGTTCAAGAATATGTTAAGAAATATAAATATGACCTTATCACTTATTTATGCTATTGGCTATCAGCTATACTAATGCACGTTTTAAACGTTGACAGTTTATAACTCTTAGGCCAATAAAGTAATCATACTCATATTTTGTCAGCAATAAGATCACATTGTTTTCTATTTGGTGTGAAAATATGAGCAAGAACAAACGTAATCTAGCTGAGTTATGACTGTTTGAAATTTATGATGAAAGCGCGGGTGCCCATTGTATTGTCATACATTGTATACCCGTCGCGATGACGATGTCAATTCTTCGCAGCTCGGGCCTCGGCGAGGCCCGGTAGCGCGAGAAGCAGCTGTAAAAAGGCTTTTCTTTACTCGTGAAACAAGCGTGCCCTTAGTGGCGTGAAAGCACGTGGTTAGGTGAAAAAACAATTGCAGAAAATTATTCCAATTTTAAGCAAAAAAGGTCACATTTTGACCATGACCTTATTGGATTTTTACCCGGAAAAATCTTGGAATAATAGCTTAATTTTAATGCTATCATGTGCGGCTGTATAATTCATAAATCTTCATGCAAATTTTGCTGATATTCCAACAAAATTAACTTGCTCAAAAGTTCAAAAAAACATGGTGTTTTTTGGCCTATTTTTGTAAAACGATACCTTACAAGACATATTTATGTGGATCATAATTCTGGGGATCGGAATTATGGGGGAACGAAAATATGTGATATGGGGATTTTTTTCAGAAATTCCCAAATTTCATACCCCAAATTAAATTGTCGCATTTTCACGCTAAATTATTTCAGAGAAATCAAAATCAGTTTTTGATGGAATTTTTAAAAATCGTGAAAAACTAAATTAGTTAAAAATCATTCTCTTCGTTTAAATCGTCTCCATCGTCGTCTCTTTCACCTTGAGTCTGCTCACCGGTGTAGTCCCAGGTGTATGCCTCCCTCAACAGGAGTTTGAGCTTGTCAATTAAGTCTCCCCTACTCTTGAAGTCTTGAATGTGAGACTAAGTTTGACTTCTAACCCTCCAGAGGGTATCGGCGATCGGCGTGATCCTCGGCATCAACCATGGTGGTGATATCTCACCACCATGGTTGATAAAATAGTGTAACACGTAAAACAACTTATTTGACAAATTCACCTCAAATTAGCCCTATTTAAGCCAATTACATAAAAATTAATGTGTGGGATTTTGAAATGGCGGCCACAATTTTGGTAGTACGAAAATATGGGGATTTTTTCCAAAAATCCCCAAATTTCGTACCATATAGATATGTCTCGTAAGGTATTTCAATTTGAGCTGTTTATGTTTTAGGATTCGAGTTAGTTTTGGTTTTTTATATCGTGAAGATAATATACAAATTTGAAGTACACATTTGTGTACCTTAACTTTAAATATTTACCATTAAAATCGAAATCAGCATTTACAAATGTACACAGAACGGTCTAAATCTAATCGCGGCTGTTGTATCTGCCCCTTTCGATGTATAGACATAGTAGTAGAGGTTGTGGCAGCTGATACGAATAGTAGAAGCTCTGATCAGTGATCTTACGGGCATTTTCTTACGGGCATTTTCTGCTCGATACGCTAGGGACTTCAGATACACCTTTCTAGACGTATTTTTGACCGTAGAATCGATTAAAAGTGGTTTTGAAATGAAGAGTCTAAGTTTCCCCGGGTAAAATCGCAAAAAACGATTTTAAAGCCAAAAATAGGCCAAAAAACCATGTTTTTGGTGGTCAAAATGTGCCCTTTTTTGCTTAAAGTTTGAATAATTTAAGGTAGTGCGCCATCGATAGTGAGCCGCGCGTGCCGACTGTAGGATGGTTTTTTAGCGCTAATTTCGGCCAGCACAATTTTCTTCAAACAAATAGATATTAAGTATCCTTCCCGACCTCCGATTGCAACAAAAATTGGTACGCTTACTCATAGACTTACAAGGAAAGTGTCCGAAAAGTTTAAAGCATATCCAACCAGCAGACATTATGTTACAGCTAAAAGCAGCGTATTTTGCCCCATTTTGATCACTACATCAACTCCGATATCCACCAAATTTTTCGGACAGTTGTGAAAGCCCTATTGGAAGGTCGTCGCCAATTTCCAGAATGATATCATTTAAGGAACTGAAGATAAATCCGAATAATACGACAAAAATGGTCAAATTTGGACGAATTTGGTCAAGCCGCGCACCATCAAATATGGCACCTAGGCGAAACTCACTGATCTTTCCTAAAAGGTATAACAAATTTGGTATAGTAAAAATTCTCACAGTCTCTAGAAAACAGTTGTACAAAAATTTTTTAAATCCGAGCAAGTTTATTTTTATCGTGCACCCCCTAATAATTTTCTGCAGTTGTATTAAATGAACCCAAAAATAGTCACATCGTGTTTGCCTACATTTTTCCTTTCCGAGAAGTACCCACTATAGACTACTAGACTTCATATACTTTAGTTTATCGAAGTTTGAATATTGTCACTCCGCGATCCGCAAGCGTTTTTGCCAAATTTTCGACGCGCACTATACTACGCGTAAAGTCATTTAGTTGTTATCAATGGCGGGCACCCGTGCGTTCATCATAAATTTCAAACAGCCATAACTCAGCAAGATTATGTCTGGTCTAGCTCATATTTTCACACCAAATAGAAAACAATGCGATCTTATTACTGACAAAATATGAATATAATATAATTACTTTATGAGCCTAAGAGTTATAGACTGTCAAAGTTTAAAACGTGCATTGGTATAGCACGTGACTAACAAGACCAAATTTATATTTTGCCTTATTAGTCGAAACATGTTCTCGATCCTTACACATCATAATTTACCTGATAAATGGGGACCTCAGGCTATCATGTTCATAAACATATGAATAGAAATTAGGCGGATCGAATGACAGGCTGAGCGCGGCCCAGTAAATCATACTTTAACTATGGTGTCCAATTAATGCCGTTGGTTCAAAATCATGTTTAATTAAATTATAGGATTCAAGTTATGGCGAGGAGTTACTGGGCCGCGCTCAGCCTGTCATTCCGCCAAATCTATATTCGATTTGTATATATGTTAATGAACATAATAGCCTGGGGTCCTCAGGTAAGGCGAGGAGGCCTTGACAAATTTCCAGTTACCTGGCCGGGGACCCCAGGCTATTATGTTCATTAACATAAATAGAGATTAGGCGGAATGACAGCATGCAGACAGGCTGAGCGCGGGCCGCGGCCCAGTAAATTTCGAAATGTTGGCCCGAGGGCAAGTGCTACGAAGTAGCGCGCGCCGGGCCAGACCATTAACAATGGTCAAACTGGTGAGAAGCTTTGAGATGTTGGTATACCAAGGAATGCCCAGCATTGCATGATCTGCTCGTTAGCGGGCTATACTCGTAAAATATCTGTTCCATATCTGAGTCCAACTCGGCGCGCGTCCTGGTAGGTTGTAAACCTACAATCTACAATCTGCACTTGAAATGCAGCACAGAGTAATTAGTTTTCAGTGCTTTCAAGGCGACTATATTAATCTATTGCAAATTTGCAGGCTTCAAAAAAATAGGAGGTGGCGCCCACTTTCGCCCCAGCAACCTATATTTGATGCTTTTGAACGGACGGACAAAAACCACTTAATAAACTTTAGGTGGAATTTTTCATAGTGGTCTTTTTCATAGTGGTCTTTTTGTTGCTCTAATCAGAGCCCTCTCGCTTGCAGTAGCGCGCGAGGAACAAGCGCGTCACGCAGTACGCGTAGACACATGGCTATGTGAAGTCTTTTGGCAATAAAATTTAAATTTTGTTTTACTTTAATTTTGTTTTACTTACTTCAGGGTATGCTGGGGGCTGGCTTTGTCATCTATTTTTGAAAGGTGTCTCACTGTTTTTGAGTGGGGGCATAGGACTTGACTTGTAGGTTTACAATCTACCAGGATGGGCGCCGAGTTGGACTCGTCGACGGTCCTGGAACAGATATTTTACGAGTATCACCCGTTAAGACCAAAGACTTGACTTGACAGCCATAAAGCAGGATTGGTTTTATTAAGGAGTCAAATAGAATGTTAAGGGCATGGTGAGAGAGGGCATCCTTAACTATATTGCCTTTGAGGCCATAGAGACAAGAGAGCACGGATAGCCTTGGCCCTCAGCTCAGTATTTGCTGCTGTAAAGGATCCATTTCTAATTCTGTGGAATATTATGCCAAGATAGCAGTATTTTTCGGTGTGCTGGATGGGCTGACCTCCCAATGCGAATGTTTTATAGGACTACTTTCTTTTGGGAGGGCTTTTATAGTATCAGAAGTTAATTTAAAATTATTTTAAATCCTGAAATTGATAATTTTTCTGTTCCCTGGCAAAGTTGCATTATTCAAACTTAATAAATAAAAACAGCTTTTGGTAACAATTAATTCAACAAAATTGCGCACATGGCACAGAGACCAGTTTTCTCCGGATATACTGCTTTCAGTACATTGATGGCGACTTGTGTCACTCTCACTGACCACA